TAGATAAAAGTCCATCACAATTGAGATTAAAGGCTAAGCCATCCTCCCAACTGATAAGGAACCCACTTGCCTCACCATTAACCTAAGGTTAGATAAAGATAATAAGATTCAAGAAAAGTTTGAGAACTTGCAACACTCAATTTTTTATGTATCAAATATGTATTCTACATTACAAAATATCCCCTGCCTATAGAATAATTGAAAGCATGAGAATACAAAGAGACATATAACTCCAAGAGTTGTGTTGCTTAGGAAATAAATATAACTAAACCCAACTCCCAATAGTCATGCTCCCAAGAGTTAATCACCACTAAAAATAACTAAACCCAACTCTCCTTGTAAAGATCACTGGATTGCAGTGATCCTTATCCTCGGGTACATTAAGACTGCTACAGGTAAAGATCTCCTCTATGAAAAACAAAGGTCATATAAGAGTTGTGGAATACTTAGATGCTGATTGGCTGGTTCCCATAATGATAGAAGATCCACCTCTATGAAAACAAAAGCATTATCCTTGTGATAAAGGCTATTTGTTGAACAAGTTGCCAAGTTAAACACTAGGTTGTTTCTTTCTGACCAGATCATCCAACAAACTATTCCGAATTTCGTAGGCCAATTCTCCCTAGTTCCTTGGTTCTTTGTCTCACAAAGATTAGAGACAATCCAATCAGAGAAGGTACATGAGAAGAAGTACATATCATGTTTGGGCTATCCAAAAATACCCCAAACTCTTTGGCCCAAGGACAATCTCTGAAGATATGTTGGCAGTCTTCAATGCTGTGGTGACACCTAGGACAGTGAGAGTCTTCACTCATGTGCCTCAACATTCTTTGATCATTAGTCAACAGTTTGTTCCCTATCAACAGCCAGAGAAAGAACTTGATTCTATGGGGAACTTGCCAATCCCACAGAATGTTCCAATCCACTGATCTGTCATGGACCTCAGAATGAGATAGAGCCTTGTACGCAGGTTTGACAGAGAAGCAACCATTATTAGTATGAATTCAAACAACGCGGTCAACTCCATCCAGGGAGGAGGGAGGAATAATTCGAGATTTAGTGTGGATCACCTCCTTAGGGGGGAGATGCTGGAAAATGGACAAGTTCCAAGATCCATTGTGGGGACAAAAGCAGTTACTTTGAGATGGCTAATCTTATTGGGGGATTTGGTTAAGAGCAATGGCTTCTGTAAGAACCCGCACCGTTAATTAAGGAATTTAATTAATTAATTATGCAAAAATAGGAAATGATTCCATAATTGACCCTAATAATTATTATAAGGCTTATATAATTATAGTAAGTGATTAAGAATGCTGAAAGTCTTTTTTCGGAGGAAAAGTGCAGATACTGGTTCTGCTAGTCGGTATAAATGCGTACCAAAAAAGTATCCCGGAAAATTATAATAAGTGCATGATAATTACTAGAATATTATATAGCATTTGTAAAACGAGTTTCAAGTTAAAATAATGAGAACTGGTGTCAGAAACTGATACTGGCTATAAAAAGCGCGTACCGGAAAGGTGCTCCGAAAAATATATTAAAAATATAATAAATCTTAGAAAATTTTGTAGTTTCAGAATCCTAAGTTTGGGATTAAAATGTTAAGCGTAGCAATTAAAGTTAATACTGTGTTATTATTTTTAGCGAGCTATAAATACTCACTTTGCACAAAACCCTAGGCCATAATTTGGCTACTACGTGAGTTGTTTTCTGAGCTCTTCTTCAGCCTTGTGTCTTCCTTGTGTCACCTTCACTCCCTACCCTCTTGTGAGCCTGAGGTGCCACCTTTCTCATTGTTGATGCCACTTAAACACTTGTGTTTTGTGTGAGGTAGCCTTGGTGGTGAGTTTAGAAGCTTTTCTGAATTTTACTTGCTGTTGGTTGAGAGTGTTTGGAGGTTGTGTTGCTGAGTTGTGAGGGAGAGACCTTGTCATGGCATTTTGTGGTGCCAAGAAGTGATCTTTTGGCTTAAAGGACCAAGCTTGGTGTACCATTTTCGTGTCTTGCTTTAGTCTGAACTTTAGTGCTGTGTAGAGGACCTCCTTACTGTCCCATTTTCGGAGTTCTGAGCCTTTGAGGTATACCATGATCACCTCTTTGTCATTTTGAAGTTTAAATCTTGTTTAATCTATTAAAAAGAGGAACTTTAACCATTTTAGTAAAAGAATGTGTTTTTGGGTTCATAACATGTTGGTGATTATCTGTTTAGGGAGTCATTGGACTCTCAATCGCATTTGGACCCTTGAACTTGGGATTATGCAGAAGTTGGTTCGAATTTCTGCATTATGTTGAAGAAGTATTCGAATACTTTTCGTGTAGTATTCGAATACTTGTTCATCAGGTAGTCGAATACTCATTGCAGGAGTATTGGAATAATTTTCTGGGAAGAGAAGTATTCGGATACCTTTGAAGAAATATTCGAATACTGGAAAGTATTCGAATACAGTAAGGTTTGGTATTCGGATACTGAGGTATCCGGATACTGGGGGGAAAAGTATTCGGATACTTGTGAGTATGCGAATACTTTAATGGAAGTAATCGAATACTTTCTGGAGACAGGGAGTATTCGAATACTCATCGAGGAGTATTCGAATACCTCCTGCAGAAAATGCATAAAATGACTTATAATGAGATGGAAAGCCTTAATCACTTAATGTAACCTTGATAGATGGTTATTGATGATTACTTACTGTATAAACAGATTGTGGTTGTACTGTTTGCGGGCTTTGAGCTAGTGTGGACTCTTGGCTTGGATAGTTAGCTTGCAAGGTAAGCTTTCATGTCCTCGGTTTAGCCATGTTGTGGTTCCACATGTCCCATGGGGGTATGGTATATGCATGCTGTGTTACATGCTTTTGATGTTTTGAAAATGTTGTTGAGTTGTTATATGCTAGTGTCGTTAAGATATGCATGTGGTGTTCCACTTATACGGTAAACCTGAGTATGTGGTACATACAATATGGTGAGGCTGTAGGTGAGGTACAAGTGATGTTCCTTGTACTATCTGTAGAGGATAGACATATGCTTATTCCTGCATTTCTCTGGCCAGTAGAATAGTATCAACACACATGTCATGAATATCTGTTGCACTGCATAGTTTTGAGAACTTATACTGATGTAAATGCTTTTAGAACTTATATTGCACATGTAAGTGAGCTTGGGGTGGAAGATCCTTGAGGACCCCTTGTCTTACTGAGATTTCTAGTTTAGAGATCTCACCCCACGTTTAGGGCACTTATTTCAGGTTCAGGTAATGTTGAGACCTCAGGCGGCAGGAGGCCGGAGCTGAGTTATATTTATGCTGACATGTTGGATGCTGGATTTGCATGCTGATTATATGCTTATAGCTTCAAATTATGTTTATGGAGTTTTATGTTGAAACTTGTTGTTTACGCTGTTTATTTGGTGAGCATGGGGATTGTCCATGACACCTAGTATTGTTTATGTCTTGAGTCTGTTGGGAGTTATAATAATGTATCAGGATATTGTCCAGATTACGAGATGTAATGCCGTGATTTAGATACACACTTTATTTATATATTGAGTAATTTCAGTAGATGCCTTATTGCAATTTACATACAGGTGATATTTTATGAAATTGATTAAGTAATCAACTTGGCTAAGTTTAATGACGTCATAATTGAAAAGAAAAAGAATATTCCGCATTTTTAATTAAGCACCGCTTAATACGATGTAATGTTAATATTCCGGGTATACACGGGGTGTTACAGCTTCCAGGCTATCCACTTGAGGGACCTAACTATCCCACCAAAAACGGGTAGATTGCCCATTTCCTAAGAGAATCTTGGAACCAGCTGAGATAGAGGGCCACAAAGAAGTTATACCACGCCAAAGATTAGATGCTTCAGTAGGCTTCCTGGCATTAGGCATGAGACGATCTTCGACACCATATTTATTACAAAGAACTTTGGCCCACAGAGCTTGATCATTCGTTAGCATTCCATGGCCCTACTCTCATAATAAAAGCTCGGTTATAAGCACGTAGGTTCTTCAAGTCTAAGCCTCCTTGGTCTGAGGGGGTACACAATCTCTCCCATCTAACCAGGTGATTTTTCTTAGTGGTAGAGCTAGACCCCCAAATGAAGTTGCGAGTTGACTGCTCCAAGGAATCACACACAAAGGCAGTAAGCATCAATGTCTGCATAGTGTAACTAGGAATGGCAGCCAAGACTGATTTAGCCAAGGTGACACGGCTAACCAAAGAAAGAGATGTGGCATTCGAGGAACTGAGGTTTTGTTGCACTCGATCGAGAACATGGTTAAAAGAATGTCTTTAGACTCTTTTGTGATGAAGGGGAACACCGAGGTATTTTCCTTGATCAACAGTGATTCCAAAACCAAGATGATCATCAATCTCTTTAGCTCTAACAAAATTTACGTTCTTCGAAAAGAACACTTTAGATTTTTCCTGGCTAATCTTCTGGCCAGATGATTGGCAGAAAAGATCTAGAATCCTTAGCAATGATGGCTTGATCCATAGTAGACTCCATAGAGAGAAGGATATCATCCACAAAGAGTAAGTGATTGATGGGAGGGCCATTCTTTTTTAGGACAATTGGCTTCCACATTTTCCTCTCCATTGCAACTTGGATCATATGGGCGCTCAACACACTAGACAAATAGGTAAGGGGAAATGGGATCTCCTTGCCTAATTCCCCTTGTAAGCCGAAAGTTTTTAGTTTTGTTACCATTCTACAAAAGATTAAAGAAGGTACTAGAAACACATTCATCGATAAGATTGACCATCCTGCCAGGGACACCAATATCAACTAGAGTTTGGTGAATAAAATTCCAATCAAGTCTATCATAGGCTTTATCTAGATCGAGCTTGATAGCCATCCTCTAGCACCTTTCTTTTTGTGCATGGAGTGTATCACCTCTTGGGCTATGACAATATTATCAGTTATATGCCTCCCCTGGACAAAAATGCATTAGTTTGGGGAGATTAACTTCGACATCAGATTTTTTAGTCTGCTAGATTATCTTGGTGATAATTTTGTAATATACATTGCAAGACTAATGGGCCTGAACTGGTTCATGTTTTCAAGACTATCAACCTTAGGAATGAGACATAATAAGGTTTGATTTATGTCTTTAACTTTGTGAGGGGAGTGGAAGACCTCGCAAATAAGTCTGCAAATAGACATCCCTACTGTTTTCCATTCAGTCTGAAGAAACGCCGCATGCAACCCATTTGGACCCGGAGCTTGGAACTTGCCCATGGTGAAGACGACTCTCTTGATTTCCTCCGTATGAGGGAACCTGCCAAGCTCAAAGATAGCATGATCATATAAACTGTGGAAAACACCACATATAGGTAATATTGGTTTCGGCTCGGTAGCCTGTATATAAAGTTCCTCAAAAAAGTTGGTAGAAACATTCACCATCTCCTTCGGATCCGAAACCCAAACCCCATGAGTATTTTTAATAGAAACTATCTTGTTACGCCTCCTCCTATTGACAGTTGCAGCATGGAAAAATTTAGTGTTTTTATCACCAAATTTAAGCCAGATGCATTGTGACTTCTGGTACCCCTCTACAGTTCCATGCACAAAACAATATAAACATAAAAAAAAAATTAAAAAGAGGACAGATCCCTAGTTGAAGGGATAAGGAGGACTACTAAGTTAGAGTGTCCTTCATACCACTTACAGCACCAAAAGCTGCTATGATCTAGTCAAGCATCATCTCATCTTGTGATTTTCATAACTTTCATAATCTCCAACGTCTTTGTTCTTTTTTCTGGTGGTAAGATTTTTTCTTGGAAATTTCTAACGCTGAATTTGCGTCTCCGTCAGAGGTGGTTGTGATACCCTCAACAATAGGAAAGGGACTAGGCCCTGCATCTAGGCCGTCGGGAGAAGTCAACTCTTAGTGCATTGTACCCTTACCTTTGCGCAGAGTGTTTTGCATGGAATTAGGGCATACTTTGTTTTAATTTTCCTTCCTAGGAAGCGTTGAGCTCTTTCTACCTTTTGTGTTGCTTTTCTCATAAAAAGGGAACTGCTTCTGTTTTGTTATCTTGACAGCAATAGCTAGTTGGATTGGTTTGACAGCTACATTCTGCACCAAGTTTCCTCTTGCAGTTGAAACAACATTGTGCAGTTCCTCTAATGCAGCAGCGACCTTATGAGGAAATGTGTTAACTTGGAAATCTCCCCATCTGTTTTGTCATCAGAGTTCCGAGAAGTGTTCCTTTTTAGCTGACATGAGTTTGCATGTCCACCACGATCCCTCACCGCCGATGTAGCTTTTAACCGGTGATTTTAATTTGACCTCTGGACTACCATCTATGTTCCGAGAGCTTTCTCTTCATTGCTTTGCTTTGTGTTCCCCGAGTCCAATTTTGTCTTGCAGTTTGTAGGCTCTACTGAAGGCTTCTTTGAACTCTTAGCAGGTTCATGGTTTTGTTCATTTTTGGGGCTACATTGATCTTGCCTGTGACTATACTTCCCACAAGAGAAACAAATTAGATGCAGGCCCTCATAGCCAACTGAGTAAACCTCATTGCCGAGTTTGAAGAAAGGAACAAAGCTCCTCCTCAAGTCAACCTTAATGCATATTCTAGCAAATCTGGCTTTATCAAAAATTTCTCCATCCCCTTCATCACTCTTCCTTACTGACCTTTTATCCACCTTTAAGGACTTTCCCAAGAGATTTCCAATACGCCACAAATGGTAAGAGGAGTGGAATAGGAAGACCACTGATGAGGACCCAAACTGTAAGCTTCTTTACCTCATTGTTGTTAGGATTAAAGAGAGGTCGCCATCTCTGCACCACTAGATAGTGGTCATAAACAATCCATGGTCCTTCATGAAGGACATGGTTATAATCATGATTATCTGAAAATCTAAGTAAGATGTTCATATGCTCCAATCAAGCTCCACATCTTGTCCAAACGTGCCATAAGGAAGCTTGGAGCCATCCTCTTTCCTGGGAGCTTAATGATGAGAGCATTTCTTCATTTTACACACTATTTCTTGTGTTAACATTTTGAGAATCTATAGGTAGGGCATAGAGAGTTATCATCTCCCTCTTGGATGTCAACCCCATCCTCTTCTTCTTCCTTCCTTTGTCTTGCCATCTAGTCCTCCTCTTCTGAATCAGACTTTATTTCTAGTTCATTAAAGGATAGTACTTTGTCTTTGTACGAAACCAACTTGCGCCCTTGAACTGGCTTCATGGTCACCTCTTTTGGGCCATCAGCATCCTCCAAGGGTGGTGTTCCATCTTCAGTGACATTTTTTTCAGTCATCATATCATCTATAGGGCTGTCCTCTCTAATCATTTCTTTTGGTTTCTTGACACTTCTCTCCAATTGGTCTGCATCCTCAGTCTCCGGAGCTTTTCTCTCTTTTTCCTTCGAAGCCATCCTCCAATTAGTGACCTTTGTTTCTTAATCTTATTTTCTTTCTATTCTTTAATCTTGTTTTTTGTTTTCTACATTTTTAAATTGTTTGCCAAGTTATGTAACCTTGGAATTGTATTTGCACGGGAGAGAAGATGATGAGAAGTTTTTGGCTACTACAAGCATCATGATGTGTTTGTAGGAGTCATAAAGTTATTTTAATTTACATAGTATGGATTGGTTTGCTGAATCTGATGAAATATATGTTATTTAGTTTGCGCATTTTGCTTTTGAAAGTGACTTAAATGTAGATTGTGATAAGTTGTTGTTGTGATTCAAGGTTCTATTGGGACGTTGAAATTGTGAATTTTGTTTTAATAATAGAATCTTGGCATAGGCTTGGGCTTTTTCGGAAAAAACTCGGCCCTACCCCACCCACTTTCACCCCTAGTGACAACTGACAATAGTTAATATGGTATCAGGTCAAACATGAAACTATCACCAACCAGGACTTGTTTAAATTGTCTATATGTGTGTGTGTGTGTGTGTGTGTGTGTATGTGTGTGTAACTCATATCTCTCATCAAGGCATTATTGTATTGTTCTTTTTATATGAAATCTGTGAAACAGATGAAAATGCATTGATGCACTTGTATTGTATTGAATGTAAGTGATTTATTTTATGTATAACTAATCATCTAACAGAAAATGGAAGAACTCTTCAAAATTAGTAAATCCAACATTTATGGATCCAAACAATCCCCACTGGGGCTGGAGTTGGTTAGAGAGATGGATGGCTGTGCAGCCATGGGAGAGCTGAAGTGATAATTTGCTGTTATGGATCACAATGATCATGCATCTATAAAGAGTATTGCAAGAGTGATTTCCAAATTATTGGTTCAGACATAATGTGAGCATATTAGTTATTAGGGAATATTTTTCTCATATTATACGTGATAATTTTATTTTATGCATATATGAAAAAGAGAGCGGGACCCCTTTTTTATTTTCTCTCTCTTCTTCTTATTGGGCTTCACCTATTTTTTTATATTTTATCTCATGCAATATGGTAAATATATTACACTTAGTTATATTCTCAAATGGTGTTCAAAGAAGCAAAAACTAATTAGGATGTTTGATATGGGACATTTTCACATAATGCAAATAAATAGGTAAAGAAAAAAAATAAGCTTCCTTATCCGGAATCATTGCACGATCTTGTGTAACAGGAAAGTCATATTCTTGGAATTTTATAGACTATCTGTCCTTTAAGTTGTGGATTTTTTATTACACTTGATACTCTTATTTTAGATATGCACTAAACAACCTAGTAAATACATGTTATTGACTCTCAAATGTGAGGTCAAATGTCTTTGTTTTATTTCCCTCCTTATATATTCTCTATTTTGTCCATTTTAATTTTATGTATGCAGCGAGCCATCATAAGCTTCTACCCAAAATAAAATCAGTCATCATACTTACTCAATGTCCCCAGCAACACACTAGCGACATGTTGAGAATATATTATAAAACAATCATAAAAGAAACTGACTTCGAAAGAATTGAATTTAAAAAAATAAAATAAAAAATAAGTTACATCTACAAAAATATAGCAAGCCTAGGTGTGTGCCTCTGATACCCGGGCACACTATTTTTTGTAAAAGATGTGTGTCAGACACCGACACGCGTCCGACATGGGATCAACAATTTGGGACACGTGGTCAATTCTCTGACACGTTTTTTCGACATGCAGTTAACGTTCCGACACACATCTGACACGTTTTTTTAGTCTTAATTTTATTTGATTAACTAAACATAAAAAAATAATTTATAAATACTTTTTTTTCTATTATGAAATTTGACATAAAAAATTAACAATGTATGAAAAATTGTTTTTGTTTATATTTATGTTATGAAATTTGAATATTTATTTGGTTATGTGACTTATTATGGACTGTTATAAGTATTAAATATAAATTATATTATATATATTAAAAATATTATTTAATATCAAAACGTGTCCCAACATGTCGAAAATATGATATTTTTTAGAATTAACGTGTCTGCATGTCGTGTCGTGTTGTGTCATATCTCGTCTCCCAGTCAGTGTCGGTGCAAGATAGGTGTGTGCTACAGGTGTGATATATTTGGCCATTTAGCTCGCAAGTGCTCTAAACCTCAAATTAAGAGGAATTCATTAAATCGACCCTAGTTTAAAGTCAAATTTTATGTGGGTCGTGCTTGGTCGATATTTAATCTAGTAATTATATTATATTTATTCATTTAGGCTAAGTGGGAAGAGGATAATAAATTCATTAAAGGAAAAAATATGTTTGCATTTGTTATATAAATTTTTATTTGACACACATAATATACTACCCTGAATACATAGATGAAATTTTTTAAACAAACTCTATTGTATGAGACTCACTCCTCTTTAAGGCATTAATTAGAGTACTATCCTCGTGGAAACGATAATCTGGGCACTAATAGTCCCACTTATTACTTAATGCGTGCACTTGCGCACTTGGGTTGAAGTTAAGAGAACGAATGTGTTTTCTCTTGATGAACTAAAGTAAAGGAACATCCTTTATCATAATACTTTAAGTAAGCAACCAGTTCACGCCCAACAAGTTTTTAGCGCCGTTGCCGGGGATTGAACGGGTCGTTCGCTTGACAGGCGGAAATACTCACCACTATACTACAACGACCCTCTCCTAGGCAAAAACAAGGATAAGGGATTAAAGAAACAGAAGCAGCACCTGCTGCAGAAGAACAAGTGGCTAAGCAAGAGACTCAGCCACAGAAAAATATTGACAAAGGAAAGGGATTCTTGTTGAATCCCCTGAAAAGAAAAAGCCAACTGCTCCCAGACAAATCAGTCTGCGAGGACCCCGCTCTTACCCCATTAGCCGTCCTGATACATCTGGGGACGAGGCCCTATCAAAGCCAGCATCAAGAGCATTAGTGCTGCGCCTTCTGCACCAACACTACAAGCTGTCAAGAGCGAGATCAAAAATGCTTCTGACTCCTTGAAACATGCTCACTCCATGCACAACACTAGAGCTGAACTGCAGCTTAGAAAACTCCTCCCCCAAAATACCGAGGAACGTAATGAAACCAAAGAAGCTCTCAAGGCCTTTGGAACGTACCTGGAAGAGAGAATTTATCAGCTGGAGAATAGAGTGCTGGATGTTGAAGGGCAGCTGGTGCATATTCACAATGGTAGGATAATGATGAGATCCACCATTGAACACTTCTCTGCTGTAATCTGTGATCTACTGAAGGACGCTAAAAAGTGGCTCCCTGAAGCTGAAGTAAGAAGATTAAGAGATCATCTCAGAAGAAGGCCACCTACACAGGAGGAGATTGATGTTGAGAAAAATACCAAGCTGGACAAGAGACGTCTGTAGTGAAAAGGAGACAGGCCCTCCTATTTTTCTTATTTTCCTTTATTGCTTATTTTGCAAGTTTCCCTTTGTTTTTCCTTTCCGTTCCTTAATGTAAAATTCATCCTTTTTGAATAGCAAAATTTCTTTTTGATTCAAACTGTTTGCAACAAACATTTCAGTTATAGTATTATGGCTGTGAAAATTTAGATAACCAATAGCATGAAACATAAAGTCAATGAGTAGTTATTCTTATTCTTACTCTGAATGCTAGAAATAGGGAAAAGAGAAGTGTATTTAATCCTCAGATTTTTGAAGGATGATGATCTGTGTGAACTAAAATTGGTGAGGAACGAAAAATGCCAAACACTTACTCATGAGAGCGTTCCTAAGGTGTAACCACAATGAAACTTCTGAACTTGCTTTGATGTTGTAAGTACTGCTGCAAAACAGGTGAAATCCACAACAGAGGATCGATCACCAAACACTCACCTCACCACAGTCAAACAAACTCTTCCATACATACATCCACACAACCACACACGTTCCTAAAT